AAGAGAAGATTTTGATGATGTAATGAAGAAGAGAGGTGATGGTTAGTGGTCTGGATTTGCGTTGTTTTCGTTAGTGCTGGGATGCTTTCCTGATGCCTGTTAGACAAATAAGGAAGATCTGTGCTGACTTTAGTGGGACCTGGATCTCATCCATGATGAAGAAGAGTTTTTCTGTTAGAAAACCCCCCACTCCCAATGAATGTTAAACAGCAGCTCCCTTTTTCCCTTCACACAGAAGTGTGTGGATGGATGCAGGATTTAAACACACGGATTCAGATCACCCGTAGATGCGAAGGAGTCAAGTCATAAGGATGCCTACAACCAATGACACTCTTGTAGCTTTCCTTTATCTATTAGGGTCACAGCAGAACAGCAGAATGCAAAAATAGCAAAAAACCGACCAAAACAAAACGAAAGAAAATGTCAGTAGCCACGTGACACTGAATGTCCCAAACTAGAGAAGAATAGGCTGTAGTTTTTCAACAGCCACAGGACAGCTGCATCATAGATCAGTACCTGACTTGCGTATTCATAAGACAGCAGAAGCCAGAAAGAAATTGTTTGGTTTTTTGTTTGTTTTTTTTTCATGCCCTGAAGGGATAACATTTCAGTTCTTTTTTTTTTTTTTTTTTTTCCCCATTAAGTGCCTTCTCTACACCAGCTCACCTTAAAGCCTTGAATCCCAGGCTGTGACAGAGCCTGCATAGGAATCTCCTCGGGGACCCTGTCATGTACAGCTGTGCTTTCCTCTCTGTGCATGCTCTGTTTTTAAGTCTCTAGTTGTGTCTGATAAAAATATGTTGTGGGGTTTTTTTTAATAATGACAAATGAATACTGCTGGTAAGGACAGAAAGTGCTTTGCCATTTCTTTGTGTTCTCTGTTACGTGCGAGTTGACCCCAGTAAAGTTTTACGGTTTTTGTGCCAGTGGTCCAGCTCTGACCACCCATCTGCAACCCGCTGTTTGTGTCATTAATAGCAGGGCAGTATCTGCCACAAATGTTAATGATGACAACAGCGATAGTTGCAAGGTGTTCAATCGTACAGATAGTGGTTAAAAGGAGAAAAAAAAAAACACCATACAGTCTCAAATATTTTTTGCTGCTGTAGAGTGCTGGCAGCCAGATGTGAGCTGTAGGAATCTGTTCACTGTTTTCTAGTGCTATTCTGTTCCTGTGGTTTTCTATCTGAATAGCAAAGTCTGAAACAAAAAGGAAAACGTGATTTCCAATCTTGTGTGTTTAAACATCTGCAATGGTGTTTTTCAGAAATGCCGGTTCATTTCAAGCAAGAGCTCCAAAATGAAGAAGCTAAAGAAGGAAAACAAGTCAAGCTGACCTGTGAGCTCAGCAAACCTGATACCCCAGTAAAATGGATGAAAGGGGAGACTGTTCTCTGTGCCAGTGAGAAGTATGAATTTAAGCAGCGTGGTACTGTGGCAGAGCTCATTATTCGAGATGTCAAATCGATAGACTCTGGGGAATACACCTGCAGCGCTGGGGAACTGAAGACCACTGCTCGGGTGAAAGTAAACGGTAGGTAGTTAGTTGTGTTGCCACACTTTCTTAATGCATTGCTTAATAGATCTTCTATTAAAAAAAAAAAAACCAAAAACACAGCACTTTGTGGCAGTGCCATCTACAAATTTATATGTAAAATTTAATGGTAATATTGCATACTTGTAAGCACCTGTACATATATTTCATTCCTGTAACCTCGTGTTATGCGTCTGGGATTTTAAAGCTGCAACTTCTGACTGAACAGAAAATAGGTGCGAAGGGTTCATTTCCTATACCCTAAGTGCCATGGTTCCTGACCTGTCAGCTTTTTTACACAGCTGTGATTAAGAGTAGAGTTAGAGTTGGAGAACAGGAGCATGGGAGCACAAGAACAATGTGAAAACATAAGTTAAGTCCAGTCCCTGATGAATGTTTAGACCCCCAAACTCCCCAAAGCATCCTTTTTTAAAGGCTCTCTGATGCCATCTGCATTCCCCAATACCCTTAAACAAATACAGTACTGTTAGTAAAACAGCAACAGTAGTATGTGCTGGAGCAGAAAGCAGGAGAGATAAGGGCATGAGTACAGTCACAGAGCCCTGCAGCAGCAGGGAGTTTGTTAGGTGAGGGTGCTTAGAGGACTCTGAAGGCGTCCTTATTAAAGATGAGAGAAACCTCCCCTGTACTCCAAGGAATCCACAGTGAGATGGTAATGTCTGGGGGAGAGATTTCTTCCTCCTCCCAAGCGGAATCACTTTGATTCCACACAGCCAAGGGAGGATCTAGGGCTGCTCTGCTCATTTGGAAACGGACAGGTTTTAAGGGGTGACATCCATCACGGGGCACTTGCTGTACAGCAGGTCAAGAGGACATGTCCTGATCCCTGGTTCTGTGTTCTAGCTGTGCCTGTCCTTTTTAAACAAGCCCTGGAGAACACGGAAATGGAAGAGGGGAAATCTGTCTCCTTGCGCTGTGAGCTCACAAAAGCTGATGCCACCGTGGTGTGGAAGAAGGGAGAAGCCACACTCCAGGCAAGTGCCAAATATGAAATGAAGCAGAAGGGGACAGTGGCAGAGCTGGTGATTCATAATGCAGAGCCAGAAGATGCGGGAAGATACACCTGTGACACTGGAGACCAGCAGACCACAGCCCGAGTCAAAATCCATGGTAGGAATAAGACACCTGCTTGTGACCATTTGTTGTTGTTCTTGCCGTGGTCCTGCCAGCTCCTGCGCATTTATAGTGAGCGTTCAGAAAAAAAAAAAAAAAAAGAAAAAAAACCAAAACAGGGATCAGTACAAACAAAAGGCAGCTCTGGCTGGGTCCATTATGTTCTCTGTTTTCTAGGACAATAACTCAATGCTAAAACATAGCAGTCAAATATACCCGATAACAAAATAGCTTTCCTTGCCTCTGAAATAACTGTTCTGCTTTCCGCTCTGGACAGAGGCGTTTGCCTGATCTCTAAGGAAGGTAAGAAGGGCCTCAGCTACACATTTTGTTAAAGAACATGCAATTCTCTTCTGCACTTTCTCAGCAAGTTTTTCATGCGTCTGTGACCATCAGCATTTGGGCAGCAGAAGGGTAATTACCTTGATAATTTGATTATTGGGAAATAATTGTTTTGGTTTTGTTTCCTCCCAAACTCATGATGTGCTATTGTAAATGCAAGTAGAGTCCTGGACGTGCAGGTAGGTCAGAGCTGGTTAGCTGTGCCCAAGAGAATTTGTTTTGGTTTTAAGTCCCATATGAGGTCACTGGTTGTTAACGATGCTCCTAAAGTAAAATGAGAATGCTTCATTCCTCAGCCGCCTCTGTGCTCATCAAAGAAGAGCTGAAGAGCGTGGAAGCCGTGGAAGGTGGGACTGCCACCCTGCGATGCCAGCTGAGCAGAGAGGCCCCTGTGGAGTGGAGGAAGGGGCACACTCTTCTCCGGTCCAGTAACAAGTACCGGATGAGGCAGGAGGGCACAGTGGCTGAGCTGCTGATCCATGATCTGGACCCAAAGGATGCTGGAGACTATACATGTGTAGTGGGGAACCAAAAAACCACAGCAGCCTTATCAGTGAATGGTAAAAAGTCAGAAATAACCTGTGAAACTCTGGAACGTTTTTTGTCCATCTCTTCCCTCCTCCTCTCTGTACATTCCCTCACAACACCTACCTTCATGTCCTGATTATACTTTTTTTCATCCTTCAACGTTTTCATGTTGTCATGTCCCTCCTTTCCCCAGTCTCTATCCACGATCAACTTTCACTGTGCCCGATGTTGGATGTGTGTGTGTTGTGTTGTCTTCTTACCTGTCCTCAAGTGGAGGGTGCTCACGTGAATGTTTGTTTTCCTGAATTAGTATGGAAACATAAGATTCCTTGGGATTTTCTGTTAAGGAGTGTTCATCACCTTTAATGATGAGATTGAGTTTGTTGTTTGCAAGCACGATCCCAATCAAGGTCACACATACTTTGATTCCCACAGAACAATTTACTCGGGATTTATTTTTGATTTTTTTTTTAACCAACCACAAAAAAAGACAGGATGTGCTTAAGGATAAGGGTGTTGGAAAAAGGCTTAGGCAGTTAGACGATAAATGAGCAGAGGTCTGGGCAGGGTCTTGGGTTGCAATCCCTTTTCATTCTGCATCTCTCAGCGCTGCCAGTCCGTTTCAAAAAAGAGTTGAAGAACGAGGAAGCCACCGAGAGCGGGACGGCCACGCTGCAGTGCGAGCTGAGCCAGGCGGCGGGCTCGGTGGAGTGGAGGAAGGACGGGAAGGTGTTGGTGCCAAACGGCAAATACAAAATGAGACGGGAAGGGCGGTTTGCCGAGCTGGTAATCCAAGATCTAGACTTGTCGGATGCTGGGAGCTATACCTGCCTGCGTGGAGACCAGAAGACAACAGCTTCTTTGAGAGTGAATGGTAACCATTCTACCCTGTTTCTCATTAAAGCCCCAACATGTTTGAAAGCATTTGCAGGTCATCGGAAGCTTGGTCAGTGTGACTTCTTAGAGGTTTCATGTTCCTCGGCTCTGTGGTGCCAAAGAGTCACCCTATTAGAGAATATCCCCTTGTGATATTTTTTTTTTACCCTCCCTGAGACAGCACAGTTATGTTCTATATTGTTTTCTCTAATTTCTTTCCCTCTACTCCAGGAGGCTTTACCCCCCTTTCAACTGTATCACCTAGCAGTAGTGCTTTTTTTTTTTTTGGTTAAATGTAGCCCAGTAACTCACAGCAGAGTCCAGTTCATGTCAACCGAGTGCTGATTCCTTCTCTGTTGGTATTGCATCCTTCAGCCTTGCCTATCCTCTTCCAAGAAGAAATGTTGAACAAGGAAGCTACAGAGGGGGAGGCAGTCACTTTGCACTGTAAACTGAGCAAATCGGCCCCGGTTGAGTGGAGAAAGGGGAGTAAAGTCCTCAAGCCAAGTGAAAAATACAAAATAGAGCAGGAAGGTCCCTTTGTGGAGCTGATGATCCGGGATTTGGATTTGGCAGACGCTGGGGATTACAGCTGTGTGTGTGGAGATCAACAGACTACGGCTGCTTTGACAGTAAATGGTAAAAAGAAATTCTCAGCACGTGCCCCAAGTAAACCTGTATAATTCCAAATTCTCTTCTTCTTTTTCTCCTGTTTCATCTGTCCCTGTATACTTTATATCCTCCCCGCTGCTGATTAATTTTTCTATCCTGTTTTCCTTTTCCCTCTGTCCTTTCACCTGATGCCCTCTTGATGTGCTATCTGTGTTCCTTGATGTTCAAATGACAAGTGAAGTGCAAGTCCCCAACTCAACACAGTTTCCCCAGTCCAGTGCAGCTGCTTGTTTAGAAGTTTTCCCATAGGGATTGACCTAAAAGTGGGAATAAGATTTACTTTTAGTAACTTAGACTGTTACACTCGTTGCTCTTAAGAGGAACAAGTTTCCATCAATGTATGATGTTACACAAGGACTATCGTAATGAAAAATTGCCTTTTTATTCTCCTGCTATTCCCAGCTCTTTTTTACCAATTTCGGTTTAACTCTTCAAGAGCATATACTTTATCTCTGCAGAAAGCTGACAGCACGTTTGTAACAGCATGTTTTAAGCGGCACTATTTATAAAAATGCAGACAGTGCCATGAATCTTCTGTAAAACTTCCACAGAACTGCTGTTTTTCTCAAGGGAAACAAAATGCTTTGGGTCTCACATTGAAATACGGCCTCTAATTTTACCCCTTTGATTTTGTGGTGTATAAAGTAAAGGATAGATGGATTGCCAGCTAAGTTTGCAGATAGACAAACCTGCTTTTAAAGCAAGTTTTAAAGTGTGAGGACAAAATATTAGAACTCAGACGGAAATCTCTTTTGAAATGTTAAAGATCGGAACAAAGTCCTGGAGTGTGAAGAAGGTCTTATGGCTTCAGTGACGTGCAGGTTCAGGGAGATGAGAGAAGAGAGCGAGTAGATCGTGGGTCAGGCTTTCTCAGCTTTGATGCCGTGTCCGTATTGCATTTACTCTGCAGTCCTGCCTGCTCTTTTCACCAAAGACCTGACAGACAAAGAAGGCACAGAAGGTAGAAGTGTCTCTCTGCGCTGTGAGCTGAACAAGGCTGCTGCCAACGTGGAGTGGAAGAAGGGCTTCAAGACCCTCAAATCAAGTGACAAGTACAAAATGAAACGTGAAGGTGTCGTTGCTGAGCTTATAATCCAAAATCTAGACACGACGGATGCTGGAAATTATTCCTGCGTGTGCGGAGACCAGCAGACTATGGCAGTTTTAACAGTACATGGTAAACCAAATGAAACAAGACACATACTAAAAATAACTATCCCGTTTCCTCTGTTCATTTGGACAGATACCCGGTCACCCTACCATCTCTTTCCTTCTGCCAGACCCTTACCCACAGCTCACTGATGCCAAGGAGGTGCTCCCGTTGGTGTCAGTGCGGCCAGGGTACATGGCACAAGAGGGGTGTCGGTGTGCAAGCTCAGAGAAACATGTGGGCAGCCCGGATTGCCGCTGCTGTTTTAATTAGGGTCCATCATTTTGCTTTTCCCCTTGAAAGTTCCTTTATTAGACTCCCCGTTATGCTCAAGCCCAATAAAATGGGTTGCCTCAAAGGGACTATGACTTAGGGATTTTAAGGTTTCATAAAAAGGCTGCGTTTTCATAAAATTGCCAAGGGGTAGGTTATTCCCTGGAATCTTATTCCCATACTCCATTTCTGGAACAACAAGGAATTGTCACTGCATTCAGTTACTCTCCTACGTAAAGCAAACCCAAACCTTCTGAGCGACGACCGTTCCCAGGGAGAATTTTTACTGCAACTGATGTGTTTGAGAGGATATGTCAGTTCAGGTGAAAATACTTGTTTTCCCACCATGTATTGAAATGAACAATTTCATTTCAAACTGATGTTTAAAATGAAACTCCAATGTTTCATTTTTTTTTAATGGATAATGTTTTTTCACTTAAGTAAGTGAAAACATAGCAAACGTCCTCCCAGTATAGTTTAAAACATCATAGAAGAAAACCAATTTTTTTCCCAGAAATTTCAAATTAGTATTTATTTGTTTTGTTTGAAATTTCCCAGGAAAAAATTGGGTTTTCTTCTTTTGTCTGTATTGATTTGTGACTCTCAGTACATGTAAATTATCTCTATGGATTACAGCGAACATCAAGTCCTTTCTTGGTGGTGGCATTTTTTCCGTGTAGTGGTTCATGAAGACTATCAGTGATCTATGTTCTCGTATTGATAAATCAGTTCAAGATGAGAGGGAAAAGGAAAATTAAACATTGGTGTTTAATTTTAACTCTTTGGAGCATTACATCTCACTGCTCGTATTGCTGTCCTTCAGCTTTGCCTGCATTTTTCAAAGAAGGATTGAAGAACAGAGAAGCCACAGATGGCGCGACAGCCACTCTGCGCTGTGAGCTGAGCAAGGTCGGGGTCCCGGTGGAGTGGAAAAAAGGGAACAAGACGCTCAAACCGAGTGATAAGTATAGGATGAGACAAGAAGACACCACTGCAGAGCTGTTGATCCGAGATCTGGAGGTAGAAGATACAGGAGAATACACCTGTGTGTGTGGAGATCAGAAGACCTCAGCTGTCCTGACAGTCCATGGTAAAAAAGCCGTTCTCTGTTATGATGGCAGTATCTCAGGGAGGGTCCCTTTTCTCTGGGAGGTCTCTCTCCTGCTTGCTTTGATGTTTTGACTCTGCAGGGTTTTCTCCCTTTGCTGGCTGTGTTTCATCCCATCTCCTACTGTCTGTCAGTTTGAAACTGGTGGCAAAGCGGCAAAGTAAAGAAGAGTTGTGAGAATTTCTCATCTTAGTCTTCACTTTTTACAAGTGAAAAAGGCACCTGTATGTAAGGCCAAAAGCGAGGAGACCTCCAGCAGCCAGCTTGTCCTCAGAGGGTTTGTCCTTGCGTCCCAGTGATGTCAGTGGATTTCCACGCATAACTTGAAGGAATGATCTTTAAAAACATTGACCTCAGTTAGTGAGAGGTTTTCCCATTCAGGAATGAATGGCTGTCCTCCTCCTTTGTGGGACCGTGATGTATTCTGCTGAGGAAATGGTACTTTCCAAAAAAACCCACCAAACCGTTATCCTGTAGGTCCTGATTTAGGGAGTAGTGAGGCGGGTTTGGTTCCCGTCTCTGCCGTGGTGAACAGCGACAAGCTTCCATTGCCCCTCCAGCAGAGGCAGTTCATTTATCATTCCAATAGATGAAATAATTGTTTTTATTTGAGATATATCTTAAGGATAAGATGCCTCTAAGGACTGGGGCATAACTGTGGAGGTGAAACTGTCTTCTCTCAGATTTTCTGCACGCTTTTACTTCCTCTCTTTCCCCCCAGCTGAAGGTATTTCTGTTCCCCCCCTGAGCTGCTCTGAGCTGGCACTTTCTTCCCTGTGCAAGTTGCTTCCTTTTTGCGTTGGTGGCACACCACAAGGCAACTCACTGAATGCTGCTAGAAAAACCTCTGTATTCCTGATATTAGAATCTTAGAATGGTTCAAGTTGGAAAGGACCTTGAAGATCATCGAGTTCCAACCCCCCCCCTGCCATGGGCAGGGACATCTCCCCACTAGACCAGGTTGCCCAAGGCCATGTCCAGCCTTGAACACCTCCAGGGATGGGGCCTCAACAACCTCTCTGGGCAACCTGTTCCAGTGCCTCACCACCCTTAAAGTGAAAAACTTCTTCCTAATGTTTAATCTAAACCGGCCCTCTTCCAGTTTAAAGCCATTGTCCCTTGTCCTATCGCTACATGCCCCAGTAAAAAGTCCTTCCCCAGCTCTCCTGGAGCCCCTTTAGGTACTGGAAGGCCGCAATAAGATCTCCCCGGAGCCTTCTCTTCTCCAGGCTGAACAGCCCCAACTCTCTCAGCCTCTCCTCATAGGAGAGGTGCTCCAGCCCTCAGATCATCCTCATGGCTCTCCTCTGGACCCGCTCCAGCAGGTCCATGTTTTTCTTATGTTGAGGACTCCAGAGCTGGATACAGTACTCCAGGTGGGGTGTCACGAGAGTGGAGTAGAGGAGCAGGATCACCTCCCTTGACCTGCTCAGAAATTATAGTTTAAAGGGGCACCTGAAGTTATATTAGTGGTTTTTTTTTTCTTCTTCTTTCTGAACAAGAAAGATAAATTGTGGTGTCAGGAAAGGTAGAGGTCTCCAGCCAGCAGTGCCGTCAGCTGGGGCAATGACTTTCAATCATAAGTCAGGTCATTAAAGGTCAAGATAGATGAATAGGTAGAGAGGACTACTGGAATCAGCTAGGAATTGATGAACCTAAGTCAACATTAGAGGCAGGTCATGGTGGCAATTATCCTGGTGAGATCCTGCAGTAGTTTTCTAGTAGATGCAGTTTTCAAGACTGTATGATTTGTTCTCCTGTAACAGTGAAGGACTGGCCTCAGGACCCAGTCCTAATTTTCTCAAGGCCTGGTTAATGGTTTTGATGTACTTTCTGTTTATATTACGTCCCGTAGCTTTGCCTGCACTGTTCAAAAAAGAGCTGGTCAGTATGGAAGCCACAGAAAACGGGACGGCCGTGCTGCAGTGTGAGCTAACTAAACCCACTCCGGTGGAGTGGAGGAAAGGGCAAAAGGTGCTCAAGCCTAGTGAGAAGTACAAAATGAGACTGAAGGATACCGTTGCTGAGCTGACGATCCATAGCCTGGAGGAACAAGATGCGGGAGATTACACATGCATGTGCGGAGACAAGACGACCACTGCATCCCTGACAGTCCATGGTAAAATACATAAGTTTAATAGGGATTTTCTGCTTTGTCATCTGTGGTCTCATGCAGGGTCACAACCTGGTCTGGTCTTGATGCCGTCTATTCTTTTAAATTGTTTTGACAGCTGTATCAACCACTGGGAATATCTTTTACTTAAAGTCCTTCTCTTAGGACTGAGAAATAGCACCGTACAGTCTTTTGTGTCCCTGTCCTTTCATGTTAATGGAATGTGGAAGCAAATAATGAAGACCTCGGTGAAGTCATAAATGGCACTTTCAGTATTTCCGTTAATTAATTTCTCTAGGCATACCACTGAGATTTCACTTGTTTTTCTTGAATGGATTGAATGGTGCTCTGTTAGGATAGCAAGTGAGGAAGGCAGGTGGGAATGATACACCGCAGCCTGGAATTTTAAATAGCATAGTGTTCATTTGAATTGTTCATCCGATCCCAAGACAGAGCTGTGCATAGTTCCTTGAAATTCTGGGATCAGCTTTCTGTTACTATGTCTTGAAACGCCTTTAAAGCATACCTTCCAGTACTGAAATTATAGTTTTACACCACTGATTTCCAAATCAGTTGTGACACACTGAATGTGGTACGTTGCGAAGCACAAGGCAGGGATGCCCCTGAAATCATCACTTGCCTCCCAGGTACTGTATATTCTAAAACTTTTGGAGATTAAAGGGTTTTAATCCAGTGGAGCAGTCAAGACACAGTATTTCCTCGGTTTTAAAGTGCTCTCTCTTCACCTGTGATCTTCAGCCCTTCCTCCGCATTTTATAAAAGAGTTGAAGAATGTGGAAGCCACAGAAAATGGCACAGCCACTCTCTGCTGTGAACTGAACAAGCCCGCAGTCGCCGTGGAATGGAGGAAAGGAGACAGAGCCCTGGAGCCGAAGGACAGGTTCACCATGAGATGCGAGGGCACAACTGCTGAGCTGGTGATCCGAGAGTTAGATCTGACAGATGCGGGAGATTACACGTGCTGTTATGGAGATCAGAAAACCACCGCTGCACTAAAAGTGAATGGTAAAAATAAAATAAAATATGTGTAACAAATTAAGGGGATTATTTTCAGCCAGGTGTTTGGGGTTTTTTTAACAGCTTAGTAGTATCAGCTTTAAAATTGCAGCCCCATTTCTAATGAATGTGGTTGGACGTGGGCGTAAATGCCTGCGTACACTGGTCAGTATCAGGCACAGGTCAGGTGTTCGTTGCAAGAATTTCAGATATTTATCTTGGTACTAACTCATTTATTTGATGTAGTAGTTGCTAGAAAAGGAAAATCATATTATTGCGATGTTGGTTGGAAAGACGTTACAATCCTAAAGTTGAGAATATTACAATTTGGTGATGAGCTATTTTTGATACAGTTTTCAGTGTTTCAGAATAATTTGATGGTCCAGTTCTGCTACACCACTGTCTGAGGAGAAATCTCATGGAAAAGTGAGATTGATGCCTCAGATATAGTTTCATTTATGAGCTTTTTCAGTAATGATTTGCGTTGCGATAGAACTTAGATGCGCTAGTTAGGCTTTCTTTTCCATTGTGGTAGGCAATACCCAAAGTAAGGTAGGGCTCAGTCTTGCAGAGTCTGAAGAAGTTGAGAGTGGTGGTTCTCCATTTCATGCCATAGACTGTACCATAAAGAAAGCTCTGGCTTACGAATAAGGTGTTTTCTAGTTTTCCAAAGTCACTGTTTTATGGGTTTCGGAGTGGTTATCAATCCTGCTTAATTAGGGGAAGCTTTGCTTGTCGCATTTGGTTGACAGACCACAGAGAAATAGTTCCTTGGGTAGCTGCCGTGGTCATACATTCTGCTCATTTTGAACTCCTCAGCCCTGCCCGCACGCTTCAAGAAAGAGATGAAGAATGAAGAAGCCACAGAAGGTGGAACAGCCACGCTGCAATGTGAGCTTTCTAGGCCTGCCCCTGTGGAGTGGAAAAAGAAACACAAAGTGCTCAAATCGTGTGAAAAATATACTTTGAGACAGGAAGGTACCACAGCACAACTGCTGATCCGTGCTTTAGAAGTCAAGGATGCTGGGGAATATACGTGTGTGTGTGGAGATGAGAAGACTACCGCAGCACTGACGGTGCATGGTAAAGAAAACAGAAATGAGAAATTTTTGTGTGATTTTTCTCCTGTTTCCTCTGGAAGCCTCAGTACTGGCACAGAGTCCTTTCTCTAATCTTGCCATCATTAATTCTGTCGGTAATGGATTTTTGAGTTTTTGTCGTGATTTTTGTCTAATTCTAACTAGAACTCTAGTTCCATTACTATACTAACATTTTCCCTGTGTTCTTCTTGCTCTTGCTGGTGCACGGCTGTACTGCTTTGCACCACATCGAAGGCTGAAGGATTCCATGTGCTTGCATTTTTTGTTCTGTTTTCCTTAATTTTAACTTGAGCCTAGAGAGATGGAGCAGCAGGAACACTCATACTTGTTAGAAACAGTGATCTCGGATTTCAAGTTACGTTATACTGTGAATAAAACTTGATTCAGTGCAACTTTTTTATGTAACTCTGACCAAGAATCATGCAGATTTTTATTCTGGTATTGCAGAATACTCAGTATTATAGTGTGAGAGTACTTCACTGTCCTCAGTGAAGTTCATCTGCAAACTTTCCTTGGAAGAGAGGGAAACTTTCTTTCCACTGTTAATATAGGACAGTAGGAAGTCGTTTCAGCCGTCTTTCTCACCTGGAAATTCAGTAGGTCAATGAGTTGATTTCTTTTCCTGCCCAGGCTTTTTCATCGTGGTATTTACCAATAAAACAAGGATGGCTTCCCTCTTGAACTTCTAATTTAACCATGGAAAGCAGAATTGGAAAGGGCCTCTACAAGTCATGTAGTCTATTCTTGAGCCCCAAGTCACCGTCACACCTACCCAACCTCACCCCAGTGCTGCAGGATTTGCCACTCCCCTGGACACTCATTCCACTGCCTAGCCATCAATGCTGCCAGAAAGTTCTTCCTGATTTCAACAAAAGTCTTCCTTGAGCTGGCTTAAGTCATTACGTCCTGTCCCATATCCTGTAGAAATGGAAAAATATTTTCCTCTTTGTGAAAGATTTGAAAATTTATATCATGTCTCCTTTCTGTCTTCTCTTTTCTGGACTCAGCGCCTTCAAACCTTTTACTCGTTCTTCATAGGTCATTTTTTTCTAGACTTCAGCTCATCTTTGTTGATTTCTGGACCATCTTCAGTTAGTCCACATCTTTTTAGAAGTGTGGTGGCCAAAAGCAGACTACAGGGCTACATCTGGAGTAGGACGGAAGGAGTTCACTTGTCCTGTATATGACACTCCATTTTATATATCTCTAGTATGATGTTTGCTTTATTCACATCAGAATTACATCTTTTTGACCTGCATCTGCTCCGTGATCCCTTGTAGCCCCAAATCTCTCTCTGCAGATCTGCTGCCTATCGTTTCCCATTTGAGCTGTTGATTGTTCCTATAGATAGTATTTTGCACCTGCTTTTGCTGAATTGCAGCATATTTTTCCACCATTGCTTCATCAAGATCTTCTATATCCAAATACTGTTTAACAAAGTCCTTTCAGCTTCTCTCCCTTCCCAGCTTGAGATCGTCTGAAAGTTAATGACTCCTCTGTCCAAGTCACTAGAGAAAATGCTAAATAATGCTGGACTCCAGAGTACTATGGAACTCTGCTCAACTCATTCTTTCATTGTGAGTGTAAATCACAGTTGAATACTTATTCTTTGACTGTGGTTTTCAAACAGGTGGTGCTTCCTACTGTAGTTCCACCTATACCTAAGTCAGGGTAAGAGCTTTACTAAAATAAAAGCATACAGCGTATACTGTGTCTTTCTATCAGTGAAGCTTATTAAGCTACGACAAGAAAAATTGCACTGCTCCACTCCTTCATGAAGAGAAAAGCTCTTGGCAAGTCCAAGTGTATTGCCGCAATATTTTTCAGACAATTAAAGCTAAGCTGAAATGGTCATAATTCCTTGGATCCTCTCTCTGCTGTCCCCCTCTTCTCCCGTTTTCCAAGACAAGCGCTCTGAATGGGATTCAGCTTGTAGATCAAGACTGGTGAGTGTTCCTAAGCTCCCATTGTTGTCAGTGAAGATCTAGTCAACACAGTCAATGGAAGCCAGGGAGACATCCAGTTCCCCTTATAGCGGACATTTACATTTGGTCAACAGGTAGCTCCTCGATTGACTTTGTTTGGATCTTTCTTGACTGTCCTGGGAGCTTGGACTCTTGGTTTACATGGTGAGAATTAAATGTGTGCGAGACCATTTCCCCCCTCTGAGTTTCTGTTTTTTTCTATACTTGTGGAACATCACCCATTCTCTTTGGTTTCTCCAGGGTAACTGTTAATGTCTGATATTGGTTGAGCCTGTGCCGTAACTATTCCAGAACAAATTTCATCACACCAAGGTGCTTTGAGAATATTCAGTTTATTTAAATGTTCTCTAAGCCATTTTTTTTCTTATCCTGGCCAGAATTCCTATTATTTTCTTAGCTATCATTAACTTGTAGTATTAAAGAAGAAAAAAGGAATTAAACATTTCGGCTCTCCCCATGTTACCCACCGTCAACTTACATTCCTGGTTGGTAAACCAACTTCTCCCTTGTTGTTTTGCTTCCTTCTAATCTACTTACAGAATATAGTTGTATTATTTCTGCTTCTTTCTAGTTCAGGCTGGCCAGGTTTCCTGGGATTTGCATGCTAATTTCTGATACAGCCAAGAGCCTCAAGTTCAACCATGAGCAGAGGACACAGAAAGCTCCTGGAGTAGTGATCTCGCCACTCAGTTGATGGGTACAAATATAGAAAGAATATGGCCGTGTTTGGAGGCGTTTAATATCAGCATCATTTTGCAAATTACCTTTCAGCCTCTCTTTCTTGTTGGTCTCTTTGTCCATGAGGTGACAGAGTCCAGGAATGGGGAACTGCCCTTGACCTTCTTGAGACATACTGCGAACCTGGAATTTCTGGTTTTGCCTCTACCTTATGTAGTATTTCTTTTGCGCTCACCTAAACCTCCCATATTTTATAGGTCTCTTGAGTTTCAGGACACTGAAGAGTTTGTGATTTAGGCAGGCTATTCCTGATGATCCTTGGAGTGAGTGAAGTAGTCTCTGCAATTATGCCCTTAACATAGTTTCTTTGAGAAGTTTTCCACTCTCCTAATCTACTTTGTCCCTTAAGGTTGCTTCTGCTTGATCATAAGTAACAATTCTTGAATTATTGAAGCTTGCTTTCTTGTTGCCCACAGAATTTCCTTTCACTCTTCTCCATCGTTACTCCTCCTAAAATCCATGAGCAATCCTGCTTCATAATCGGTGTCTGCCCAATGATCTTCCACATCTATGTTCTCAAATATTTATTTCTTGCTGGTCAGAGGCAGGAATTAGAGATCCTCCTCTCCTGTTCTTTCGTATCTATTCTATATCCAAAAGTGGTTCCCACCTCATTTCAAAGACTTAGCAGACATCGTCCCACCCTACTGCTCCTACAGTATTACCCCATTACCATCCAGTCTTATGCTCTGAATGATTCTATTAGCTGTTCCAAAAGGGATGGGGTGTTAGGATGCACCTGAACTTCCTGGTGTGAAGGTCTTATAGCAGATTTCCACAATGGAGACATAGTCCTTCTTTTTCCTTTTTATTGTTACCCAAGCGCTTTCAAGAGGTCTCTCTGATTCTGCTTTTCATCCTCATTCTAACTCTTGGGCTAGGTCTGTAGGCATCCTTAACATGTAAGGGAAAACCTTTTCATTTTTTCCCTTTAGTTTTTTTCCCTTATCATGGTGTAAAATGCTATATCAGTTTCCCAGGCTCAAATATACTGAGAAAGTTACAGTTTTGACCATACATGAAGTTTTCTCATTCCTG